TTCTACTCGCGCTTAATGGCCTTTATTCACTCGCAAAAATTACGACACTCGCTCCTACTTTGGTTGTGACGTAAACATCAACTCGTGAATAATAGACATCATTATATGCTCGTTGAAGAATATACTATTCTTCCCTCTTGTCATCGCCGTCACCGCCTTCGTCGCCATTGCCGCCAATGCTGTTTTGGCCTTACTACTGACGTCACGAGAATAAAATGACGACATGGGCTTCGCGCTATCACTGTCATTCAAAACATTATCGCCGACGCGGACGAAAAAGCCACCACCATGACAACCGCTCGTTTTGGAGTTAGTCGTATGGGCGTGAAGACTGCCATACCTGCTGCCCTCTTACTAGTGTCCCTAGAAACTAAGCACCTTCCTTGTAGCTAACGCCTTGCCAATCACTAATGTCACTTGTTCGTACATTTCATCATTTTTCGCCCACCAGTACCATTCTTGCTGTTACACTAGTCCTCGTGTATCGCAGTAATCGCTTCTGTCAGTTGATGAACTACACGTTCTCGTTATCATCGATACTCCCATGTTTTCCAGCTCATTATCTTCACTGCCATCTAATTGCCTGCTCCCTTTTCTTCTCCAATGTCGCCATTCTCCGATTCCACCAATTATCAAACTTTGCCGTGTTCTCACCCGGTTGCTTCACCTATCCTTGAGCCACCGTCAGCTCCATCACCATTTTGACATTCTTAACCAATACCTCTACAGACGGTACCAAACCCTCTCCCTGACTGACTCTCCTCCATCTCAAGTATATTTCTCTCTAATACCTCGATCCGGCCTTATCCGAATTTCTATGCCCTAAAACACATCCATTTCGTTATTTTTACACTGCGAAATATTTCTTTCTTTGGTTAGGTCAATAATTTACCATGAAAAAACAGACTCCGTCTTGAATTGCTTACGAAACATAATCAGTTCACAAAACTGTATACACCAAAGACAAATAACGAATAAGAGTTTAGAGACCTCCCCACTTCCTCTGCCTTCACACCGCTGAAAGCCATTGACACCGCATTGGCAGGATCCAGTTACTTTCACTCGACAATGTTTAGGGCGGAAACAGCAGCATTTTTCTATGTTGACTTGAGCACGTAACTACTAAAAGATGAAATGATGACCTCAAAACTCAAACATGTAAAAAATGTCTTTTCAACAAAAAATGACAAAAAGTGGCCTTACAAATACATGTCAACTGTGTCAAACACTGATAAATATGTTAGTACTAATGAAGAAATGTTCCTCAAAAACGAGACCAAAGATGCAAAATCCTATCCTTAATTATCATCATAGTTATCACAATTTTTACGATGCGTTAACTCCTTTGCAATCCAGATATACAGTTGCTTGTTCTTCCTTCAACGCCGATACCTCACGAACCCGTGTCATTGCGACTTCTATCTCACACTCGCTTTCACTTTTGTCCAGATTTGCCCCTTCTCCTTACTTTGGTGGTCGCTATTGCTCTCTTCACTTTCCTCCTAATTATACACATACATCAGACATCTTATTATCTGCCAACTCCATTTTTCCTTGCCCAACGATCTTCCATTTGCCGTTACATACACCGACAACATGTTTCCCCTCCTGTTTGACCTACTCATTTCTACTTCCTAGCTTTCATCCGCATGTTTCATAATTCCCTCTCTACTTTCAGTTTCTACACTCCTCCGCCATGTTTACTAGTATTATTTGTACCAACGATACGAGCCGGAAAACATGGTGATGACAAGAACGTGGAGTAATTCAACTGACAGAAGCGATTACTGCAATACACGAGGACTAGTGAAACAGTGAGAATGGTACTGGTGGGAAAAAAAGAGACGGTGAAAGGAACGAAAACAAGTGTGCTTCCAAAGTCACCACTACTGCGCCCGCGCCTCTAACCGCCATCAATTCCCATGATCTCGTCCCCATTCCTTTCCCCGCCCGTCACCCCCACCAACACTCCGTCCTTCCCCTCCCCTGACCCTTTCCCTCCCCGCGTCCGGCACCGCGCGCGCTGCCGTGCTAAGCGGCCATAACGCGGGGTTTCATTAAGGCGGCAGCGGATGGCGGACAAGAAGTTGCGCCCGAAATGGACGCGCGCTGTGGCCCCGGCAGCGCCGGGTGCCCCGCGGCGCGGCGGTGGCGGCCCCTGGCGGCGAGCGGCGCTCTTTACACGCCCCGCCCCTCCTCCAGGAGCGCTAACTAGCCACGGGACCCCCACCTGCGTCCCATGGGGTGGCCCTAATACGAGGGTTGGAGCGTAAGTCATTGCAACTATTTTTTTTTACTTTCTGTCTACGGAGTAGAAAGACAGTTATGTAACGCTGCGCGGAAAAACGGTAAATTTTCGACAGAAAAATCTTATTACAGGGATCTGGTAATGAAAAACTGGGTAAATCCAGTTGCTAAATTTAGACAAAAATCCTCTAACATGTGGTGTAGCCAGGGTTCTGATTTTGTGTGCCCTCGATACCAAAAAATCGATGACGGCAAAACGTCTGTCCGTCTGTCTACCTGTCTACGAACAACGCTAACGGCTAAATTGTTTAGCCGATTTTCTCGGGCGAGAAAGTACCCGCTGTTTTAAGTTTTTTGGTGTGAATATTCGAGCATGTGTTTAAAATGTGAAATATACAGATGAAAAAGCAAAGTATGAACTACGTGCATGGACATTTAACAGCATATTAAAAGCGTGTTTCTCCTATTTAATAAGGTGTTTGAAATTGTACTGGATTCATGTTCTAAAGCAATGTAGCATACGCTGGTTTACAATATTCTCCAAGTATTACATACCCATTCTCAAGAACCGATTAGGCAGATGCTCGGTTACCGCACTCACACTCACAAGTTGTCACGTACGTTGCTGATCAGTGGTTGTTACGTGTCCTCGCCGAAACTCCCCCCTCCCATTTCGCGACTGTCCGGTATGGAAGAGCACAATATTTAAGAGCTTGCATCAACCACCTATGACATTTTCGGACATTTCTCCAATAGAGAACGGCTATCTTGGTGTATGAGCGCTGCACAATTCATCTCGCACGGCAGTAAGACAACCGATTTGACATTGCTCTCTGTACTAATAGAAACACTCACATCGCCATCTGTTATTGTGAACATGTATAGTCGCCAAGACTTAACGACTCTCGTATTTAAAGTCCGCTTTACAGAGTCATTTTTAATCAGTACAGAAAAGTGGATCAGACGGAATGTAATTTGTACATAAAATGACGCATGCTTCATTTCGGTACCGATTTCATCCTGTTTGCCTACCGTGCTCCTGGTTCTACTTTCTGAAACGTCTTATTTGCATTGCGTGTGGTAGTTTGGTTCCTTTTGTGCAGTTTTGAGAGCGCTCTAAGGTAGAATTGTACCTAATTTGAAGTGATTAGGGTGGTGAAAAATAAAATATATTCTGTTCTGATGTCTCGTTCCGTGCTGTTCTAAAACTGTTCAACTGTTTGATCTTCAGTGCTTGTTTCTGACTAAAGGGACTATTTTCAGTACGAATAGTGCAGAAAATGCAATGGTGATGAAAAACGTTCAGTCTCGTTCCACTTTCGATAGCGAAGCGGTGAAGAAAAGAACCTCTCTATTTCATCCATTTTCTGTGCAGAAAACTGATGGAACAATAACCGTGTAAACGGGCTTAAGAGCTTGCGACGCCTCTGATAACGATGTTGGTGGCGCGCCTTCCATGGAAGCCAGAGAGTTTAGCTCACGAGTATTTTAATAATTCTCTAAAATCAAATCTGTCGTTCATTTGCCGATTCAAATAAGTTATTCCTTGGGAGAGGAAATGTTTTTGTAATGTCCAGTAAATAATTTTAATCACGATTTTCTGTACTTTAATTCATTATTCAACTATGTACTTTAAAAGTATGGATTCTGAATGGAAGTCTATGGATTCTGAAGACTAAGAAATTGTGAGTGGAAATGCAGGTATTTATCTCCCTTACGTTACATAGAGATTTTACTGTTGTTGTTTTTTATGAAAAATAAATCAAATTATATCTACGTCAGTTACATCTGCAATGTAAATCATATCTATGTACATCTTATTGCCCAAACTTACTACAGTTTTCGCATAATGTTGGTGACAATGGTATTATAACACGGATCTGCTTTCTTTGATAATCAGTATACATGGGTTTCACCTATCACATAAAGCATTTCTTCGGATATCAAATTGTATTGCCCTAATAATACTTAGCCGAAGAAAATGTAAAGAGCCGTTCACGCTGTTGCTACATTTTACTTCCTTTTGGTTCACTCAGTCATAAAAGAGCTTAAAAATAAATTACTACTTACTCTCCAATTACATTATCCGCTTCTTTCTCACCGAATGCGGTTCAAAAGACATGAAGCAACGCCTTGAAAGGCATATACCGACTTAGTTGGCTCAGGGCGGCAATTGACGTGACTGCAATACCTCTGATCGGGAGGTCCTAGTGTTCGAGTGGCAGGATTTTCGGCACTAGCTTTATAGCTAAGGCGAATTAAGCTGTATGGAGGAGAATTCTTGAAGCCGGCTGTTCTGATAGGTGCTTTTCTGTGTTTTCTCCTATCAACATCCGGCGAATGCCGGAACAGTAATCTAACAAACGGGCCACACGCGCGATCTTTCTTTCGCCTTTCTTGTCCTAACCTTAATGTCAGTCGAATGTTCACTACTCCACTAGTAGTAGTCAAATAGAATCAAAGTGAAGTTACGATCTAATTTATTTTAAATAATATTTCTCGTAAAAATTACTACTAATAAAATAAATTAAAACTGACAAGGATAATTAAACGCAATTTTAAACTATACAATCGAACGAAACTTTTACTAGACAAATTCTTAATGATTAAGTGTCATTTCTTGATTTGTCAACTTGTCTGTGATTGGTCAAGAACCAGTATGATTGTGCAACGGGTTGCAGCCACCAAAATGAAATCCGGTACCCCGCTCGCTTGCGTCTTTTCGCCGCCCGAGTGCGCGCGTGCGGGTGACAATGCGCCGGCTGGGGCGAGGGGGCGCGGCCGGTGCCGGGCGACGCGACGCGACAGCAGCGATGGGCGCGGGCGCGGCGCTGGTCGGGGCCGGGCCCCGCCTGCACCTGGGCGCGCGCGCCATGCGGCGCTGGATCGCCGGCCTGCCGCGGGGCGCGCTGCTGTGCTGCTCGGCCAGAGGTGCGCTTCTCGGAGAACGCCCGCAGCGGGGCACACGGCAATAAATTTGCAGGGGAATTGAAGGGGAAAAATTATATACAAGAATGCAACATTGATTGATTGGTGATTCCGGGCACGCCAACTTCTAATGTCATTAGTTACGTGAGGGTAGAGAATGTTCTTTTATCACGAGAGGTGGCGGTGATCTTTCCCTTGGTTGGCGAGATCCGGTACTGATCCCCTCACCCCCCCCCCAAGCAGGTATTCCCGACCAGCGGGGAACTGCTTGAGTCAAAGCAAGCTCCAAGTACACGTAAGCTGCCGCGGCTCGAATCCATAAATTCTCGGCTATCCGGGAGACGCCGCGTCGTTGGCTGGGAGGCCGACGTTTCGCCTGACATGTCGCAGGCTTCCTCAATCCTGCGGCATGTTAGGCGAAACGTCGGCCTCTCAGCCAACGACGCGGCGTCTCCCGGATAGCCGAAAATTTAATTTAAAGCAAGCTCCAAGTTCCCGATTAGCCTCCCGGCATGTGTGGTAGAGTAGTGCATGTATGTAATGACACATGCAAGAAGTGTACGTGTCAGTAATGGCGAAGAGAGGTCAACGAAGAAGAATTCAGATCCTGCCAGCCGGATGCGAGAATTATTTTCCTTACAGCGACAGATTCCAACATAGCTATCTAGCTAGGGACTCGAACAAATGATCTCCCGATCAGAGGCATTACGGTGATATCAATTGATGCCATGTGTCACCAAAGCCTATTCTAATGCTGGATTTATTAATCACTCTTACATACTTTTTCCGAAGATTAAAGGTAAAAAATAGGGTTTGAGGAATGGCAAGATAATATTTTGATCATTTCTTCTGTTCTTTTCCGCAGAAACAGAGATTGCCTCTTCTTTAAAAACTTTCCGGTCTTCGCATGGTTGCTCCGATTGCGAAACCGTTATCTACTTTGCCATACATTAAAATGAGAATGCAATATATTTATTAGCAGGCCTATCTGTAAGAGAACGCCAGAGTTTCCATAAAGACACTTTTCAAGAAAGACGGGTTTTAATTGTTTTGTAACAAATCGATAAGCTATGTAATGTTATCTTTAACTTATGAAATATTATTTTTATTTTTAAAAATTTAATACCGTATGATCGACTTTGAAAAAAGCTGTACATTTCTATACAGCTGTGATACATTTACTTTCTTCTCAATATTTCAAAGACTCCATCCATTCAGAAAATGCCTGAATTGGCAAGCGCTGACTAAGCCGCGAACGCCGAAGGTGAAATTTTCATTTTTCCTTTTCAGATAGCGACTCAGAGAGTACCGGAAGCGAGGATTATTCCAGCGATCTATCGCAACTGTCCAGAGAAGAATCCGAAATACGAACTTCTCTTGGGAAAGACGCCTCAACGCCCAGAAGTTTCACGAGAACGAACCTTCTGAAATGTAGGAACAGTGATTCTTTCGTAGCCGACGAAGTGATATACGCCGGGGATTACAAGGACGCCAAATTATACATTGTGTTTGCGGAGGTTCATCACCTTCCGCCAGCGACCGGAAGTAGAGACGTCATCGCGTACCCGTTCGCAAGCAGCGCTCCAGTCTCGCTGATCTCCGCGCACCCACCTCGACCACGATACTTCCCCTGTTGCCCGGCTCGAGAATGCCATTGCGTTATATTCTTGAAACTGATGGAAAACCTTTTCTTTGACATAATAATGGATCAACGAGAACTTTGTAGTCTGCATATCACTACTGTTGGAAAACTCATCGCTGATGTTTTGAATCTGTGGATTCAAGTGCAGGAAAATAAATATCGCAGAAGTATGGCTTTGATCCCTCTCAGTAATCGATGTGACGCTTGGCTGAGTCTTATTGAATAAATAATATTAGTTGACAAGTGCGAATATATTAATGGTTGAATAATGACATAATATATTCGTTTTAAGAGTAATTTTTAATATGAAAAATATGAATTTGTGAATGGGAATGGTGTATTAGATGTATATTTACTCCCAGTTATTATAAACCCACAAACACATACCCTCTCCGAAAAAAAGGTATGTCACATGTTAATTCCCGATATACTGTAATATACAATATTACATGTTTAAATTACTCTTCAGAACAATTTAGTGCAGAGAAAGACACCTTTCCAAACATTTCTGAATAGAATGATTCTTCCCATACATTCTTCCATACATTTTCCTTCTGTCCCCCGCAGTGAATAAAATCCCGACCGCTCTTCCACCTGCGCCAAATCCCCCGAAATCGTCGCGATCCGACTCCTCAAAGATGCCCCCGGCGCAGGGGGCGACGCGGACAAGTAAATCGCCTTTCCGAGCGGCGCTCGCAGTCATTTGTCTGCGACACGGGCGCACGCGACGCGCCGGGAGGGGAGGGGAAGGAGCTGGTGAGGGGTGAGGGAGGGGAGAGAAGCGACGCGCGGGGGTCGTTCGTCACAGTTGACGCGGCCGATCGAAGCTCTTCCCACGTGGGCGGTGCGTACGACGCGCGCACGCAGTTTGCGTGACACCTGCCTGCGGGCACTCGCCCCGCCACGCCCCCTCCTACATCCGGCCTTTTGCTACGCAATGCCTCTGACCGGGAGTCGCTGGGGTTTGAGTCCGACGGTGGAAGGATTTTCCACAGTAGCCACTAGCTAGGTCTCAGTCAGCTTCTGTCTGGAGCAGAATTCTAGAGGCCAGCTGCTCTGATCAATGCCAGGCGAGTGCAGGAGCACTAACTTAACAAACTGGCCACGGACAGCGCGCCTCTTCCTAGTCCTATCCTCACAACTTTTTTACACACACACTTACATGCACAACTCTACCTCAGATTCCCTCTTCGCTTACCTTCAGCTCCATTACTGCTTCACCTATATTTCACCCCCATATCCATCTACACATCATCTCCATCCTCACCACCTCCTTTCTCGTTCTACCTCTCTCCTCGTCTCATCTCCTTCCCCGACCCATCTTCTGCATGACTTCTACCCTGCATCTCACCTATTTGTATTGTTACTCGATCTCCATTCTTTACTCATCATCCTACCATTATTATGTACTGATCCGATCCTTTCCCTCAATGTATCCGCTCATCAGCCCGCATTCCTGCTACAGCTTTCGTTCCCATTTCATCTTCATCTTCTCCTCTCACATACCTTCACCTGCACCTTCACCTTCATTTTCTTCGCCCCATTTCCGTCCACTTTTTTGTTATGATTCCCGTTCTCCTCCGCCCCACCCACCAATCCGCTTTGTCTTCCTTACCACCCAATGCGCCACCGCTTCCCACCACCCCTTTCTCCCCATCCACCGCCCCCGAGCGCCCCTGAGAGCCGCACGCCGTCACAAGATAAAGCAGCGGGAGGCACAACTACCCCTTGAGACAGCTACTTCGGAAGATAAAGTTGTTTCCAGACGGTAGATTAATGCAATAGCGCGACGGCGCTGGCAGCCGCGATGGAACAAAGGTGCGGAAAGAAGAATGAATTGAATTTGAATTTGATGGCTGGAGCAGGGAAGCCGTTGGATGGTTATTTTTAGGCTTCACGACGACTCTGGTGGCGAGATATTGTGAGTAATTTACATGCCAAAGTGTCAATTTTTAAGAATTATTTTTCGTAATAACTCTCTGATAAATAATTTAAAGTCATTGGAGGAATATTGGCCTGCCTTATACTACTTTTAATGAAATACGGTTTTCAAATCTTCAGTACAATTAATAGAATAACAAAATTACACAATACCATATCAAGAAAATATATTACATATAATTGCAAAATAATTCTAAGACTGATTACTATCTTATAGCTTAGAATTACTCTTGTGTATGGACGGAGACAAATTAAATTAAGAGAGAAATAATAACATAAACCGTTGTATTAATATATGGAATAATGAAAAAGTATTCATTTAGCGTAGAAACTATATTTCGTTATTACAAATAACCTCACCATAATAAGAGCAGCTACCACCTGTCAAAATATAACTTGAATATGATGTGGACAAAAAAACTGAAATGCCGCAGTTTAACGAAGGAGAAACGTTTTTGAACACGAAATGCAAATAGTTGTCAGTTGTTAGAAAAAATTAAATACGAAATAGAAGGTGCATGGGGAATGTGACCTATTACCAATCAAGAAAAATAGCTGATGATTTGTTTTCAAATATTGTGAAGCAAGGTCTCTTCTCTCCCCTTTAAGCGTGAGAGTTAAACTAGGTCCAGGCAGGGAGGGGGCACCATTAGCTAGCTTGCAGTCGGTCAATCGACCCAAAATGACATATACTACATATGTATTCCCATAATAGTTCGCTTAGAATACAGAAATAAGTGAGTAGATTTATTTTGGAAATATTTTGAATGAGATAAGATATATATTGAGAAAATGCACACACAGTTCTTTTAGTTGGATGTCAGACAATCTACACAAAATAACTATATATACATATATATATATATATATATATATATATATATATATTCGCTTCAATAGTTTGCTTGAAATATAAAACATGTTGAGTAGATTTATTTGGAAATGTTATAATTAGTTCAAGATTTAATATTGAGCAAATGTGCACAAAGTTGGTTGCCTTTGGAAAGTAAAGCGGGCCCAATCGACGCAAAATGTTAAAAAGATATGCTTTCTTCCAATCATATCAATTGTAATAGCTAAATATAGGTTAATTTACTATTGGAAAGTAATTTGAATGATATATATATATATATATATATATATATATCTTATATATATATATATATAATATAATATATATTGCATTAATTTATAGTATATCTCAATTGCAATCATCCTTATATACTAATATAATATATATATATAACTATATATTATATATATATAATATATATATAGTGGCGTTTCTGGGATTGCGCACCCCCTATCACACCACCGTCTCTTTATGTGAACACTCGGAGGCAGCGAGGATAACAGACGCGTAAGGGCAGGGTACTTAAATGCGCGGCCGTACTCGTTGCCGTACTAAACGAATGCGAAGCTTGCAAGTAAATGTTTTCCTTGTGAAGGGTTTAGAAGGGGAAGTAGCGCTCCCCATCCCACCAAATTTCCCCAGGCGCCGCCGCCATAAATTACGCGTACCCGCAAGCGGTAAGCTTCTTTTTCTTGCCACCACGCGTCGATAAGCAACTGGTCTTTTTGATCATCGTTCGCGCGAAAGTCAACACTTTCGTTAAACATTAGTTTAGATATTGTTTGCCGCTGCAACGACACTAGTAGGAGTTAATTTCGGCGTCGAACAGACGTTCCTAGCTAGTCGTCCGCGGATAGTGCAGATTAAGTAGTGTTTCTTCAATTAACACACGGGAAGTAAAAAATTTTAACCCGTTGTGGAGGGAAACATTAAAAGTTCTGCTGTCAAAGTAAAAAGTAGCAACGAGCGAGGAACTTGCACGAGTATTCGGATAAAGTGCAAGGGACATTTCGGCACCGTGGGCGTAGTCAGAGGCGCCGGTAGGGCAGACGAGGAAGAAGAAGAGGCAAGGAGGCCAGAGGCGACGAGGAAAGAAGACTGATCGAAAAACGAAGAAGAAGGAAGAGGACGCAAGAAGGCAAACGCAGACGGCCAGGGCGAATCCCGTCTCTCTTGACAACGCCAGAGGTTGGGGACCGAGCGGATCACCGCAGCGACCAGCGCCACAATCATCAGGCCAAAAATTGGAAAGTCTACGAGGTACAGTTAGGAATCCAGAAAAATATGTCAAGTTCACGTCGGCAAGGGAAAACTAGTATAGGAAAGTGTTAAAAATTTGAGGACAACGGGTGGCAAACAAATACAGTATTTATAGTAGGAGCCCGTTTTGATGGCGCTAGTTGCCTGCCTAAAAACATTCTAACTTAGGAAGCATTTTATTTCGCTATTTTCAGACACAGTTAAATTGTAAATTAGGTAGAGGCACTGCACAACATTTTGTTCTTTGCATGAATCATCTTGAAGCGAGGATTGTAAATTGAAATTTTTGATTTCACGTGCATGTAATTAGAATAGCCACAATTTTAGATTATAATTAATTTTCCCAGGGAATTCCCAGTGTAGTTTAGGGTAATTATGTCAGAGTAAATGCCAATTTTGAAGTAAATTTAGTGTTCATTCACATGAGTCTGTGTTGGTAAAGGTTTCCTATTTGTGTTTTGATTATTCTTTGTAAAAAAGTGCGATCTATCTTCTTGTTTTGTTATTAACTTATGCAGCTAAAAAAAAGTTTATGGTAAAATTATACGCTCGTTTGTGTGCATCTGTGGGTGATTTTATTTGTGTCAAGGGTTCCAAACCTTTCTCGCACCCTGACGGATCCTGCTCCTAAGAATTTTTAAAGCTCGCTTCACGAGCAAAATCTTGACAACCTGCTTAACGGTTCTGCCTGCTACTGTGAAGGTGTAAGTTGTGGGTGTAAGGTGGTATGTTTTAGAATAATATATATATATATATATATATATCTAATATATGATATATATATATATATATAATATAGAGAGAGAGAGAGAGAGAGAGAGAGAGAGAGAGAGAGAGAGAGAGAGAGAGAAATATACACAAAGTTGTAACCTTTCGGAGTCGGACCATCGGCCCATAAATATCAAGTACAAATATGATTCCTTAATAGTTCGCTTTGAAAACAAAAATGAGTGAGTAGATGTATTTTAGAAATATTTTGAATGGGTAGAGATATGTATCGAGCAAACGCACATAAAAATTGTTGCCTTCGGGAGGCAAGGACGAGGGCGCTGTGGCGCATGCGCGGGCACTCACCGACGACGTTGAGGCGCACCTTGGAGTTGCGCGTGGGCGAGCGGCGGAAGTCGACGCGGCAGCGGTAGTCGCCCTCGTCCTCCGCGCGCACGTCGTCCAGCGCCAGCGTCGCGGGCTCCGTGATGGTGCGGAAGTAGCCGCGCAGCTGCAGC